GTCTTACATCCTTCATTCCTTTTGTGATAAACAAAATACAAAAGCCAAAAAAAAAAAAAAAACCAACAAACCAAAAACACAAATAAAGGAACAGACATGATTTATACATAAAGATTATATGTAGATAGATAAATATATAGATACAGATATGGATATAGAATAACGGCTGTTGGCAATGAATGATGAGAAAATTGTCTGAAGAACACAAAAGATAGAAAGAAGCCCTGTTTCTATGCTGGGCTCTTCCTGATTCCTAAGTCCATCACATGTATTAATTGGTCAGTTTCTGTCCACCTGTAAAGCCTTGAGATCAGCTGAGACAGAAATTCAATGTGTGGTTCTAATCTTTCCCATGAATAAGTGGACCAATGACACTCTAGTGGACCAGTGGGGGCCATGATAGATTTACTGTGCTAAGCCACAAGGGTTTCTTGAGAGTTAATCACAAGAAGCAATGTTTAATATTGTCAATAATGGACATAATGATGGAATAATAATGTCAACAGTGAAAATAACGATGACAATAATAAATGAGAATTACCTTCTATGAGACCTCTGGGGTTTGTCTGAAAGTACTCTGATCACTTTACCTGCATTCTTGCAATTAATCCTCCCAAGAACACACTGAGAAAGAAGCCATGAACTGCACATCATTGATCTGGACACTGAGGTTCAAGGAGATCAACTCAAAACCCCAACTCACACAGGTAGCAAGTGACGGGGCTAGAAAATTCAACTCTAGATGTGTCTGTCTTCAAACTCTAGTCCCTGTCTTTGCCTCGTCCTCCCCCTCCTCCACCTCCATCTTCTCCAACTTCTTCATCTTCTTCCACTCTTTAAGGCTAGCTGACTCCATAGATACCCTCTTTGATCCATTGCATCCTAATACATTTTTTCAGGAATAAAAAGATTCAAAATAGCAACATAAGTTTATGAGCATCTACTTTTACAAGGCACCATGGCATAAAAACTCACAGTTTACAAAAGAATGGAGGAAACAGGCATGTATTTACTAAGTGCCTATGATGAATCAGGCACTATATAATACTATTTTATTATATTCCTCTTAATTTTCTCAACCACAGTACGCGTTTCATTCTCATTTTACAAATGAAGGGACTAACACCCAAGCAAGTTTAAGGAAGAAGCTTATCTAGAATCACACATCCAGTGGAAACTATGACTTGGCTGAATATTCACCCCTCCAGGCAAGGTAGTTGGACCAAGCCATATACAAACTGAACCTCCAAGACATCAGGGCTTGGAAAGCCCCTGTGCTCAGGCACATGTCCAGCCTGAAATGGAGCATTTTCCAGACATTCTTGTACAGTGTGTGGAAAGTATAAATTTTGGGCACTTTGATGATAGTCATCAAATATGTACAGGAGTGTAGATGCTGACGAAACAATTATATTTTTATCAATGATAGGACAGATGCTAAAATGCACATATGCAGTGATCCTCATTGTATATGTTTTCAAAACCCATAATAAAAAGGAGTAATAAAAGTGAAAATGTAAGTATCATAAGTAATATCATTAGTAAAACATTGTTGTTGCCATACAATAGAATAAAATGCAACTATTAAAATGATGAATTGCATTTAAATTTATTGACATAAAAAGCTGTCTAATATGCAGTCCAGTCAAAAAGCATTTCAAAAATTATGTATGAGATGCTAAATAAACCCCTATCTCTGAAATGGAACTCCCCCTTCCTGAAATACAAACAGTCCTAGAAAAAACAACTTTAATTCTAGTTTGCTGTAGATAGTAGAATAAAGGATAATCTTGATTTCCTTCTTCAAATTTTCCTGAATTTTCTGAAGTCCATTTTGCAATAATAACAACTCACCTTGGTTGAGGGCTTATGATGTGAAAAATAACTTATCTACATTACTTTCCTCATTGCAATGACACTAACACAATAATCCCACTTTACAGATCCGTAGTTTGAAGCTCAGAGAGGCGCATCATTTGCCTAAGGGAGTGGCAAGAGCTGAGATTGAAGTAGATTTTCTGCTTCTACCAACATGTTCTCCTAGCTCTAATTCTGTACCACAATACATATGTAACAGTTTTGTTATTATAAAACAATACTTGTAACTATACTAATAATTTAGAATTTTTGCTTTCTAGAAAATGCACAATTATCTGCATTCTGCACAACTTATTAAACTGCGTTCCAACTCTCATTATTTTAGGGCTCAGCCATTCTTTATTTTCAGGTGCTTCCTTCTCCTTTATTTTAAAAAAATTAACATATAATGTATCATTGGTTTCAGAGGTACAGGTCTGTGATTCATCAGTCTTATATAATACCCAGTGCTCATTACATCACATGCCCTCCTTAATGCCCATCACCCAGTTACCCATCCCCCCACCTTCCTCGCCTCCGGCAACCCTCAGTTTGTTTCCTATGATAAAGAGTCTCTTATGTTTTGTCTCCCTCTCTGGTTTCTTTTCCTTTATTTCTAATAACATGCCTTCCAATAGATGGTTAAAATAAATACTGTCTAATGTTTCCTCAACTCCTGAGAAAGATTGTTTCACAGGAATTATTAGTATCCAAGATGCCACGGGACTTCCAGAGGTAGAGTCTGCAGGGCTGGGGTCGGCGGCACCCAAACCTCACAGAATATCGATAAGGGAAGAACGAGGCAGCAAAATTCTAGGTCCACCACTCTATCTTTTGTTCTTGGATTGTACTCACAAATATGTCACTGTTCCTGGCCATCAGGCCCTATACTTTTCTATCCAGTAAACGTAGGATTCCATGGTTCAAACACTATAATAACCTGCAAACTCCTTGAAAGCAGTAGCCTTGGGCTTGAGGAAATCTTGCCAAATCAATATCCCCAGTCCCTCCCAGCACTCCCCACCCCTGCCCATGCACACCTCTCCCTGGCCCCACTCTCCTTCCACAGTTGACCACATTGCGCTGAGAAACAAGACAAGCTCTTCACTTCCATCCAGTCTTTTAACAATCAAAGAGGAACGACTGTAGTCAACTACAGGATAAATAGGGATTCCTAAGGCCATAAACGCAGCATGACAAATTAGCAAGCACATCACCCTAGGACAGCAGGGAGCTAGCTTCCCACCCAGGCTGAATCACCAGCTCACTGTTGGGAACAATTTATTTGATGCAAATGAAAAACCAAACATTTATAAATCAGTTAAACAAGAAGCTTAGGGAGAGGGCTTCTGGGACTTGGGGGAAAAAAAAAAGATTTTATTCTCCATGGGAATTAGAGGATTGGAAATCTGTCAGGATTTGGGACATGCATACATCTGGTGTATGTTGCTGGGGCAGTTAGTCGCTTAAAAAAGCCTTGACCAGTGTGAGGCTTTTGTTTCCAGGTCTTGCTCCCCCATCCTCCCAGTGCTTTTCTTCTGATGTCAGAAGGGCACATTGAAACTGTCAATTCTACCTCTTCATGCCCTCTCCAAAGTCCATCCCATTGCTTGGACAACTATGTGCAATAGTCAGTGAATGAATTTTCCTGCTTCTTTGTAAAAATGAACATTTTATTTTAGAACAGTGTTAAATTTACAGAACAGTTGCAAAATTAATACAGAGTTCCTGTAGATTCCTTACCAAGCATCCTCTAAGCGCACGTTTGCCAAAACTAAGAAACTGATATTGGTGCATTACTATTAACTGAACTGATATTGGTACATCACTATTACCTGACTTGGTTCAGATTTGACCAATTTTTACACTGAAGTCTTTCTTCTGTTCCAGAATCCAGTTCAGGATAACACATTACACTGTCCTGTCTCCTTAGTCTCCTCACGGAACTAAGTGTCTAAGTCTTTCCTTATTTTTCACGTCTTGACAGTTTTGAGGAGTACCTGAGGTCAGGTATTTTGTAGAATGTCCCTCATTTTGTGTTTGTCTGACATGTAGCCTCCTGATTCAACTAAGGTTATGGGTTTGGGGTAAAAATTCCACAGAAATGACGTTCCCTTTTTATCACACCATATCAGGAGGTACTTACGACAAGCATGGCCTATTGCCCTTGTCTTAGTCTGTTTGTAATGAAGGATAGTTGGAAGAAAGCCAGGCAGGGACAAAGGGCCCAGCCCTAAGAGGAAACCACTCTTAAAAGAACTTTAAAACACCCAGAAAGGAGCACTCCACTCTTTCCCATGTGAACAACTAAAGGATAGATAGATGAGCACGTGGACAAAAACCTGCTTGGGTGACAGGCTCAAGGAGGGTTAATCAGATTAAAACAGCCCGCCTGCCAACAAACCCATAAAAACCCCTAGACTTAGAAACTCTGGTGGCAACCCTTTTGGGTCCCCTCCCTCTTCGGGAGCTTTGTACTATCGCTTAATAAACTTTTACTATTGCTCAATAAACTTTGCTTTGCTGCCCACAACTCTTCGTCTGGTCTATCTCGTCATTCTTCCAAGCAGTGTGACCAAGAACCACCGGCACCGAAGGAAAAGAAATCCTATAACATTTGGGCTCCCATAACAGAACATCCTAGACTGGGTAGCTGATAAACAACAGAAATTTATTTGTCACAGTTCTGAAGGCTGAAAGTCTATGATCAAGGTGCTACTAAATTCTACAGGATTTGGCCCCACTTTCTGGTTCACACACAGCTGTCTCCTCCCATGGAAGGGAGTTCCCTGGGGTCTCTTTTATAAGGGCATTAATGCCATTCATGTGGGCTCCACCCTCATGACCTAATCATCTCTCAAAGGCCCTACCTCCAAACACCACCACACTGAGGACCAGGTTTCAACATATGAAGGTTGATGTGATATAAAACATTTAATCTATAGCAGCTGGTAACATTAACCTTGATCATTTGGTTAAGGAAGTGTTTTCCAGGTTTCTCCCTGGTAAAGTTACTATTTTTCCCCTTCTCCATACACTCTGTATGTGATCGGATCACTAAGGACAGACCACACTCAAGGCGGTGCTGGAGGCGTGGAAGTTGGGGTTGGAATTAACTACTTCTACTTTTTTTTTTTTTTTTTATAACTACATGGTAATATGGTTTCTCAAATTTGGGGATAAAGAACTTGTGACAGTCCAGGTGACATCTGCTATAATTTTGTTAAGTACACAATTCCAAAAGAACTTCAAACTTTAAATATTTCAACTTAATTCACAGTTTAGTACAAATAGCACTTTGCAATTTTAGAGAATTATTAACTACACACCATAAGCTTTCATTGTCAATGACACTTTTATCACAGTTAATTTATAATTCCCATTTGTCATGATAGTCAAGCTTATTCAGAGAAATAAACCAGAATTATAAGGGCAGGAAACACTATTCTTTCTCACATGATATCCAAGACTAAGTATCTATTCAAATACATTCAAAAAGCTGATGATATAAACGTTGGCAGTTTTCAAGAAACACTGGTCAATCCATAGTTAAATCTCAATGCGTCAGTTAACACCTGGGCACCTCTTGCAGTTAGCATTGCATTAGATGCTTAAAGACAACCAGTTTGACTCAATAAACTTTAAAAATATATACTTAATACTTATAATATTATTCACGGAGTTCTTGGCAGAGTTAAGTATTTTGAGGTTTCTATTGTTGAGAAATTTGAGGTTCATGTTGTCTCTCTTTCAGTCCCAAAAGCTCCGTTTTGAGTTCTCCAGGCTTTGGTGGAATTTCAGGTATTGTCAGGTCCGGCCGGTAGTACCTGTGCACTGCTTCCGCCCCAGCGCACATGGTCAGGAGGCTGGCAGCGAACATTTTCAGATACGTGGCCCAGGACACGCCCGCGGGCATGGTTGGGGGTCGCAGAATGCACCGGCATTCGGCCGCGGGTCAGAGGGCGAGCGGAAGTGCGCGCCGGGGTCGCCACTACTTCTACTTTTGACCCAATGCAAATCCATTATATACACCAAGTGAATCAAAAAAAAAAAAAAAATGAGACCAGCCTACTCTCTTATCTGACACTTTTCAATGGCTTCTTACTGTCTTCAGGAGAATTATCTTACTCATTCTGCCATCATTTACCTGGGGGCTGCTGTAGAATTACTTGGTATTGAAGTTAGTTCCCTCCATTAACACTTCCTATAGATGGAGTTCTTCTTCATAGAGATCATAAAGATAATTACAAATTATCATAGCTTGTCGTTCTTTCATTTTTTTATAAATATTTTTGTTCTGCCTTTTTTTTAAGATTTTTATTTATTTATTTGAGAGAGAGTGAGAGCAAGAGGGAGAGGGAGAAGCAGACTTACTGCTGAGCAGAGTGCCTGATGGGGGACTTGATTCCAGGACTCTTGAGATCACGACCTGAGCCAAAGGCTGATACTTAACTGACCGAGCCCCCAGGTGCCCCATAATTTGTCATTCTGTATTTATTTATTTAAGGTCTGCCTCCATAAGAATCATGTAGTCAGGGCCAATGTATCCTCATTAGTTATAAAGCTCTTAGTATAAACAGGTTTCTTATACATAGGTAACAGAAACCAAGTCTGGCGAGTAAGCAGGAACAGGAATGGTGCTAGAAAATCATGCTCAGGCCTGAACTTTCAGAAAAAAATGTTCCAAACCATGTTGCAGAACTGGGATGATAAGCACACCTCTGTCCTTGCTACTGTCCTAGTGAGTACTCTGTAAAGAAAACCAGTCTTGATCTTGAAAAAAATCCCACTACCAAAAGCTGGGTGCCTCTGAGACCACCCTGTGGATAAAAAGGATTCTGAGTGGTACTTCCTTCCATAGTTGCTGACTTGCCAATCAAAGTTTCATAAGGGTGAATCTCATTGGTAGAGCCAGATGACCTGAGGGATTGAATTCATTCCATTCCACCTTTGTGAGATAGGATTCAGAAAGTTAGGAATTCCTAAAAATGTAAGGTGGGAGTTTAACAGCGACTGGTAGCAAGAATGTATAAAAAATGTCCCATTCACTAACGTGTCATTGATTCTCAATATCTGTCAAAGGAAGGAAGGAAGGATTATAGGACTGTCAGACTTAGCAAATATAAATATAGAATGCCCAGTCTGATTTGAATCTCAGATTGAACAATTAGTAATTTTTTTCACACATCTCATGCAATATTTGGTACATACTTATACTCAAAATTTGTTGTTTACCTGAAATTCAGATTTAATTATGTATTCTGTATTTGATCTTGCAACCACAGGAAGGAAGGAAAAAGGAAGGAGGGAAAGAAGGAAGGGAGAGAGGGAGGAAGGGAAGAAGATATGAATCAGGCTACCTTAAGTTTGCACCGCTTGACTTTCGATTCATCTGACTCCAGTTTTACCAAGAGAACATATGTCTATAATTTGACATTTCATGAGGAATTAGCCACTGGGAAAGAATAAGCTGGTCAGACTGCCTGGAATTTCTCACTATTAACTGTCAAATTGGCTTTTGACTAAGATGTGGTGTACCCGTTAGCCTGGTACTGGGAAGGAATGTACTGACTTCAGGGATAGTCATATTCCAGTCCATGTGACAGTTAGATTTCACATAAATTAATCAATTACAATTCCAACTTTATACCCCATTCCTGAGAGTTCAATTACTGTGATGCCAACCTTGAGAGATGAATTTAGTCTCCATGGGTATGCTCAGGGTGGGGAACGCAAGGTTCTGTAATTATATTGGCTATGTTTTATTTCTCAAATGGAATGACAGGTATATGGGTGTTAATTATTTTATTCTTTGTAACATTTCATATATCAAAATATTGTATAAGGTATTTTCAAACATAAAAAGGATGGATTTGCTTTTAGAACATACTTGCTTGAGCCCAGATTACCCCACTGTGCCATTTTCTTCTGCTTTATCCCGCAACATTGAGTTAAGCAGATGGTTTCCAGTTATATTGCATATTATGCTACCTCCTTTACATTTCCATGCCTTATGCTTTGCCTTTTGTCTTGGAAAGCCTTTCTTTATCTTTTTTCCAGTCACTCCTTACTTTCTTTTTAAGATAACCCACAATCATCAAAGGAGACAATGCAGGTTTTTTTTTTTTTCTTTTTTTTCCTGCTGGCAAGCCTTCTTTCAATCTTCCCTCCCATCACTCATTGGAGAAGGGTCTACTTCTGCCCCTGCCTTATTTCTCTCTCTCTCAGTAGGCTGTATGAGGTCCTTTGTTGCTCCCACCACACTATGCTGTGATTATCTTTTTACAGGTCTGTCCTGCCACCAATTGTAAACTCCTCAAGAGAAGGACATGAGCCTTATTCATTCCTCTACCTCCTGAATTTAGCAATATGCCTAAACCATGTTTACCCAACTGGACTGACCCTAGGAAATCCTGTCTCTTAGCCTTGGTTTATAAACTCCACCATAAAATTGCTGCGTGCACACACACACACACACACACACACTCAGCAGTCTAGAGTAAAAATTTCTGCCGTATCAGTTGCTTAAAGCAAAGCTCGCTTTTCTGTATTTCCAAAGCCGCAGGGTAAAACCAAGTTCCTACTTTTAACAGTAAGAAAACTAAGACCCAGAGGAAGGAGAGTAACCTGTACAAGATCATGCAGGAGTGCGTGTGGGGGGAGATGACTCAGAGCAAGAACTCAGGTCTCTCCCTGTAACACCTGTTGCTGAGTGATGATAAGCAGGTTGTCAAACTTCCTGGTTTCTCTGACTCTTCAGAGAAGTTATGTGAAGTGGCTCTCCGTGGCACAGCCCCTTGGCTAAACCAGGTGAGACCACCAAAGAGCACCTTGTAGAAATGTCCATAGTCAGTAGCCATTAGCACAGAATTTTGCACTTCCTACTGCCTGGCCCACCTTAGCAGTCCTGCTTTGTTCTGGTCAAAAGTCTCTCTGGCAGACCAAGTAGTATCTGTGGACTCTTCGAAGGCCTTTTCCCTAGAGCCTCCTTAGGCTTGGCTACTGGAAGCCTTGGCCAAGGTCATCCTTTCCACATTTTCTGACCTGAGGTTATTTGGTGTGAATGGAAACAGAGGAGCTGGCTCCCTAGAAATGCTTGAGAAAACAAGTTGCTTTCTTTTCAAGCTGTGGATTCCATCAACTAACTGGAATGGCCTTCATGTATTTGGCATCAGATACAGGATTGCCCTCCCCCTGTCCCTTCAAAATACTGGAGGTAAGAATGCTTTACCCCCAGGCATTTCCAAGGCCAACATGGAGGGAACATTCCAGTGTGGATTTCCCAGGCTCGTTGTCCTCTCTTGGAACCTGTAAACCTATTTATCGCCTGTCCCCATTGCTATGCGGGTAGCTGCATCACCAGTTAATCCCTTCTTCTTGCTTTCTTGCCTAGTTCTAGAGGGAAACTCCAGAATAACTCCATTCTTTTCCAGGTGGACCAGAATAAGCCCTCTCAAAGCTATAAGGACCTTTTGACTTCACCTGGGGGAATCCTTCATCTCTATAAGTGGAGAAACAAACTGAATGGGAAGCACTTGATTAAGTACTCAGCATATTAGAACTGGGACAAAATTCAGGTTTTCTGGCTTCCTATCCAGGTCTTAGAACTTCAAGGAATTCTCAGACAACAAACAAAAATAAGGCCTCAAACACTGACACTATTTATCAAAAATGTCCCCCCAGTTTGTTCCTTCAGATTCTTGCTCTCATTCTCTCTTTCTCTCCCTTTGTTTATTGATCTGTTTATTCCTAATTCTTCCACTTTAGTTCCTGTGTCTGAAATCTTTCTCTACCTCCTTCAGCTTGTCCTTCCAAACCCAGCTCTGTGAAGTTCTGTGAAGTAAATAGAAGGGAGAGAGTTTGGCCGATTAGATTATTGGTCTCAAGTCTTCATTTCTCTGGAACAGTATTAACCTCCCACACCCCTGCTATGGCTTCATGGTAGCTGAAATGTATGCTCACCTCCATGACTCTGGGCTGTTGACTTGTCATCAACATGACATAGCATGCCATCTTCTGCTTCTGTCATCATTGAGAGCACATGACTGGGTGTCCACTGCCCCTTTAGCTTGGACTCAGAATGAGACAGGGAGAGCAGACCTGACCCAGATCTACAGCTGGAAGCTAAATCTAGCAGAACCCAACAGAGCCCAGGTGATGTCACAATGTGTGCCTAGAAATGTCTGGAGAAAGCCTCTCTTCAGAAGGAAAAAGTATCCAACTATACATAAAGGTTGATAAAACAGTTTTCAATATTTATTCATTCTGTCACTCATTAAGTCATTCACCAAATAGCATCAACTATGATACTGTCTAGGCCTGAGATTCCTTTCTTTTTTTAAAGATTTTATTTATTTATAAGAGAGAGAGAGAGAGAGCACAAGTAGAGGGAGTGGTAGAGGGCAGGGAGCCCAACTCAGGGCTGCATCCCAGGACACAAGCAAAAGGCAGACGTTTAACCAACTGACCACCCAGGTGCCCCTAGGCCTGAGATTCTTAACTCTATGAAACTATGTGTCAAGATTTGTCCATTAGTGCATTTTTCTGAGGAAAGGGTTTATGGCTTTCCTCAGCTACTCAAATGGGTTCTTAACCCCAACCAAATGAGTAAAGTCCCTTGATATAAGGGTTCACTTGGCGTTTGACTTATTTTCCACAAAAGGTCAATATTGAATAGTAGGCTGTTCACCTATGAGTGCAGACTGAATAAAAGTTCTGCTCAAGTCATTTGAATATTACTGGAAGGATTGACCAGAGAATTGGATTGTGATGTGCTAATTAATGAATCAGTGCATTAGTCCTTTGCAATGATCATCCATATCACTTGCAATTGACATTCCAACTATATAACTTGTATCCTAAAATTAAAATGAAAATACTAAATGTTTATAAATACCATCTTGAATTTTAATCATC